ATTTAATAATAAAGTAGAGAATCGCATTATAAAATTTAATAATAAAGTAGAGAATCGCATTATAAAATTTAATAATAAAGTAGAGAATCGCATTATAAAATTTAATAATAAAGTAGAGAATCGCATTATAAAATTTAATAATAAAGTAGAGAATCGCATTATAAAATTTAATAATAAAGTAGAGAATCGCATTATAAAATTTAATAATAAAGTAGAGAATCGCATTATAAAATTTAATAATAAAGTAGAGAATCGCATTATAAAATTTAATAATAAAGTAGAGAATCGCATTATAAAATTTAATAATAAAGTAGAGAATCGCATTATAAAATTTAATAATAAAGTAGAGAATCGCATTATAAAATTTAATAATAAAGTAGAGAATCGCATTATAAAATTTAATAATAAAGTAGAGAATCGCATTATAAAATTTAATAATAAAGTAGAGAATCGCATTATAAAATTTAATAATAAAGTAGAGAATCGCATTATAAAATTTAATAATAAAGTAGAGAATCGCATTATAAAATTTAATAATAAAGTAGAGAATCGCATTATAAAATTTAATAATAAAGTAGAGAATCGCATTATAAAATTTAATAATAAAGTAGAGAATCGCATTATAAAATTTAATAATAAAGTAGAGAATCGCATTATAAAATTTAATAATAAAGTAGAGAATCGCATTATAAAATTTAATAATAAAGTAGAGAATCGCATTATAAAATTTAATAATAAAGTAGAGAATCGCATTATAAAATTTAATAATAAAGTAGAGAATCGCATTATAAAATTTAATAATAAAGTAGAGAATCGCATTATAAAATTTAATAATAAAGTAGAGAATCGCATTATAAAATTTAATAATAAAGTAGAGAATCGCATTATAAAATTTAATAATAAAGTAGAGAATCGCATTATAAAATTTAATAATAAAGTAGAGAATCGCATTATAAAATTTAATAATAAAGTAGAGAATCGCATTATAAAATTTAATAATAAAGTAGAGAATCGCATTATAAAATTTAATAATAAAGTAGAGAATCGCATTATAAAATTTAATAATAAAGTAGAGAATCGCATTATAAAATTTAATAATAAAGTAGAGAATCGCATTATAAAATTTAATAATAAAGTAGAGAATCGCATTATAAAATTTAATAATAAAGTAGAGAATCGCATTATAAAATTTAATAATAAAGTAGAGAATCGCATTATAAAATTTAATAATAAAGTAGAGAATCGCATTATAAAATTTAATAATAAAGTAGAGAATCGCATTATAAAATTTAATAATAAAGTAGAGAATCGCATTATAAAATTTAATAATAAAGTAGAGAATCGCATTATAAAATTTAATAATAAAGTAGAGAATCGCATTATAAAATTTAATAATAAAGTAGAGAATCGCATTATAAAATTTAATAATAAAGTAGAGAATCGCATTATAAAATTTAATAATAAAGTAGAGAATCGCATTATAAAATTTAATAATAAAGTAGAGAATCGCATTATAAAATTTAATAATAAAGTAGAGAATCGCATTATAAAATTTAATAATAAAGTAGAGAATCGCATTATAAAATTTAATAATAAAGTAGAGAATCGCATTATAAAATTTAATAATAAAGTAGAGAATCGCATTATAAAATTTAATAATAAAGTAGAGAATCGCATTATAAAATTTAATAATAAAGTAGAGAATCGCATTATAAAATTTAATAATAAAGTAGAGAATCGCATTATAAAATTTAATAATAAAGTAGAGAATCGCATTATAAAATTTAATAATAAAGTAGAGAATCGCATTATAAAATTTAATAATAAAGTAGAGAATCGCATTATAAAATTTAATAATAAAGTAGAGAATCGCATTATAAAATTTAATAATAAAGTAGAGAATCGCATTATAAAACTTAATAATAAAGTAGAGAATCGCATTATAAAATTTAATAATAAAGTAGAGAATCGCATTATAAAATTTAATAATAAAGTAGAGAATCGCATTATAAAATTTAATAATAAAGTAGAGAATCGCATTATAAAATTTAATAATAAAGTAGAGAATCGCATTATAAAATTTAATAATAAAGTAGAGAATCGCATTATAAAATTTAATAATAAAGTAGAGAATCGCATTATAAAATTTAATAATAAAGTAGAGAATCGCATTATAAAATTTAATAATAAAGTAGAGAATCGCATTATAAAATTTAATAATAAAGTAGAGAATCGCATTATAAAATTTAATAATAAAGTAGAGAATCGCATTATAAAATTTAATAATAAAGTAGAGAATCGCATTATAAAATTTAATAATAAAGTAGAGAATCGCATTATAAAATTTAATAATAAAGTAGAGAATCGCATTATAAAATTTAATAATAAAGTAGAGAATCGCATTATAAAATTTAATAATAAAGTAGAGAATCGCATTATAAAATTTAATAATAAAGTAGAGAATCGCATTATAAAATTTAATAATAAAGTAGAGAATCGCATTATAAAACTTAATAATAAAGTAGAGAATCGCATTATAAAATTTAATAATAAAGTAGAGAATCGCATTATAAAATTTAATAATAAAGTAGAGAATCGCATTATAAAATTTAATAATAAAGTAGAGAATCGCATTATAAAAATTAATAATAAAGTAGAGAATCGCATTATAAAATTTAATAATAAAGTAGAGAATCGCATTATAAAATTTAATAATAAAGTAGAGAATCGCATTATAAAATTTAATAATAAAGTAGAGAATCGCATTATAAAATTTAATAATAAAGTAGAGAATCGCATTATAAAATTTAATAATAAAGTAGAGAATCGCATTATAAAATTTAATAATAAAGTAGAGAATCGCATTATAAAATTTAATAATAAAGTAGAGAATCGCATTATAAAATTTAATAATAAAGTAGAGAATCGCATTATAAAATTTAATAATAAAGTAGAGAATCGCATTATAAAACTTAATAATAAAGTAGAGAATCGCATTATAAAATTTAATAATAAAGTAGAGAATCGCATTATAAAATTTAATAATAAAGTAGAGAATCGCATTATAAAAATTAATAATAAAGTAGAGAATCGCATTATAAAATTTAATAATAAAGTAGAGAATCGCATTATAAAAATTAATAATAAAGTAGAGAATCGCATTATAAAATTTAATAATAAAGTAGAGAATCGCATTATAAAATTTAATAATAAAGTAGAGAATCGCATTATAAAATTTAATAATAAAGTAGAGAATCGCATTATAAAATTTAATAATAAAGTAGAGAATCGCATTATAAAATTTAATAATAAAGTAGAGAATCGCATTATAAAATTTAATAATAAAGTAGAGAATCGCATTATAAAATTTAATAATAAAGTAGAGAATCGCATTATAAAATTTAATAATAAAGTAGAGAATCGCATTATAAAATTTAATAATAAAGTAGAGAATCGCATTATAAAATTTAATAATAAAGTAGAGAATCGCATTTTAAAATTTAATAATAAAGTAGAGAATCGCATTTTAAAATTTAATAATAAAGTAGAGAATCGCATTTTAAAATTTAATAATAAAGTAGAGAATCGCATTTTAAAATTTAATAATAAAGTAGAGAATCGCATTATAAAATTTAATAATAAAGTAGAGAATCGCATTATAAAATTTAATAATAAAGTAGAGAATCGCATTATAAAATTTAATAATAAAGTAGAGAATCGCATTATAAAATTTAATAATAAAGTAGAGAATCGCATTATAAAATTTAATAATAAAGTAGAGAATCGCATTATAAAATTTAATAATAAAGTAGAGAATCGCATTATAAAATTTAATAATAAAGTAGAGAATCGCATTATAAAATTTAATAATAAAGTAGAGAATCACATTTTAAAATTTAATAATAAAGTAGAGAATCGCATTATAAAATTTAATAATAAAGTAGAGAATCGCATTTTAAAATTTAATAATAAAGTAGAGAATCGCATTATAAAATTTAATAATAAAGTAGAGAATCGCATTTTAAAATTTAATAAATACGAAATTTAAATCTGAAAAAGAGTATAAAGAACTTTTTATTTCGATTTTGAACCTTAGTAATAACTACTGTACACTGTACATTATACGTTTACTGTATAATATAGGTAAGGAAAAGTTTGATGAAAAGCTGGATTACTGATTTAATCAGATAATTCCTTTCGCCATTAAAAATAAAAAAAGGCAAAAAAATTAAAATGAGAAAAAAATCAGTCATAACGACCACATGGCAAATACTATCGAACTAGGTGTTTCAAAATTAAAAAAGGTCACCTCAACCTCAAGAGGACTGGAACTTTATACTAGTATTAAGCTTTTTTATTTAGCCTAAGCTTATCACAAAAAACAAGCAGCAGTTTTATAAACTGATCTCATAATTGATATTATGATAATTGTATAGTGATTTTTTTTTGTTAAATTCAATTGTTAACTTGCACACCTAAAACTATTGATGTACTTTCAATTAAAAATTCAACTTTTGAGGATTAAAAATGTCAAAAAAAATTATTTTTTTGTACAGTACAGTACAAAAAAATATTTTTTTTTATAGAAAGTACATTATAATTAGCTTCACATGTGTAAGTTAAAAAAATAAGCTTCTTTGCTATCATAAAATTGTAGAAACCAAAAAAACAAAAACAGCTTGATATATATTATTTTTGCTTTAGTCTTCATAACTTGAAACACCAAAATTTTTTTGATTTTTTTTGTTTTCATTTAAAAACTGAAGCAAGAGCTTCAATTAGGCAAATTATTTATAATTAACTACTATATTTTCAATATTTATATATATTTTTAATATTTATATATATTTTCTGACTATGACTACATATATTTATATATATATATATATTTTTGACTATTTATATATATTTCTTTAACTAATGACTTATAATGATATATTCATACATATTTTTAATGACTAGTATATTTATTTTAACAAACATAACAATAAATATCCTACCTATAGGAAAAAAAGTTGTATTAGGACATATTGTAGGAATTTCTTCTAGTTCTACTCTTGTATTTTCTTGATTTGTACATCTTCGAGTTCGAAGATAAGAGCAATTCTTATCTGAGCTTGTGATGATTTTTAAATAATCAGTTTGCCACAATGTGCAACTCAGGTTAAAATCTAGATATAATTTTAAAACCTAGATATAAATATAAAATTAAAACATTCATCAAAAATGGTACAGTTAAAAACATGCAGTTTAAATTCGTCACAAAAAAATCTCAATAAACCATATGTTGTGTAACTTTTCAGGCGTTTCATATGTTTTAAAATTAAGTTTATGTAACTGCTTAGAAGGTACTTTAGATGTATTCCACTAAAAGTGCCATATGGGCATCTAAATATACAACTTTTATACAAATTTTGCAACTTTTATTTATTCAGATGTTCAATTGAAGAAATACACATGCTTGACAATGTTGAGTTTTAAATAAATAAAATGATAAACATAAAATGTAAATAAATAATGAATGTTGGTTGAGGGGTCAGAAATTTCTTGGTCACCTTGAGAAAGTGCTACCTTGACTTCATTACTTAAATTATTTTTATAATTCATCCAGAAATCAAAATGTCAAAACATAATTGAGAATCCAGATAATAATTGAACACTTTTTTAGTCAGTTTGGAATTTAAACATTGGTCATCAACAAAATAAGCCTCGAATAAAAGATCAAAAGTTTCATCATTGTTCACTTTAAAATCACACAAATATTGAAATATGATGGAACTATTAAAACTAAAATTTTTTTCATATTGCTTCATTAAATTTTTCATTAAATTTTTTCATATGCTTCTTAAAAATATGGAAACCACAATTAATTAAAAATATGGAAACCACAATTAATTAAAAATATGGAAACCACAATTAATTAAACCATTAGAATAGTTTTGTATTTGAGGTTTTGATATTTTTAAGAATAAAACAATACTTGCTACAAACAAAGCTAAATAAATGAAAAATTAAATTATTTTATAACATTGGCCTTAAAGTCTTCAAACCCATTGTTCAATTTTATTTTTGGAAGTTAAACCATTGTTCAACTGAATTTTTTGGAAGCAGCTAAAAAAATTATATTAAAAATTACTCATACTAAAATTTTATTGAAAAAATTTAATTTTCTAAAGTTGCAGAAAAAAAGTTTTTTCAGAAAAAAATCTAAACACTTTAAAAATATACTAAATAATTACATTTAGTAAGATGGCATATTTATTTCAGAATAAGTGTAAGGTTTTAGATATACTTGAATTGAAAATAAAGAACAATTTTTTCATTTATGGCAAACAGTTTTTTAGCCAGTTTTTTGAAGACTTTTTCTTCGAGTCTAGAAGACTAATCTTTAAGCAAAAAATGTGTTAAAATTTGAATGAAACATTTTTCATATTTTTATAATTTTTATGTGTTTAAATCTTGGGTAGACTCTGGTATAATAATAAGGTAAAATAAGTTTCTTATTGAGCTCAAGTACAAAATGTTTCTGAAAAGTTTAAGCAGGCAAAACCCAAAACAGTATTCATTTTCTGAAGGTAAAAAACTAATAAAACTAATCCGACTCTAAAGGAACTGAATTGAATCTAATGCAACTCTAATCAGTCTAATGCAACAGGATTTTGAATTCTATAAATTTCTACCAAAAAATTCACTCATTCTGGAATTATTACTTATTATAATATTATGTAAGTAATACAACTTGATCCATAAGTAAAACAAATTAAAGTACCTGTTTAATGTTTGCAGATCCAGCATAAACTTTAACAGGACCGAGCTTAAAATTTCTGTGGGGTCAAAATAAAAAGGATTATATTACATAATAACAATAGTTGTTGACAATTCTTGATATCCAGTGACATCCAGTACAAAGTTAAAAAGTTTTTTTAAAGTTTTTTTTTAAAAACTAAAATAGTTTAAACATCATAAAAAGCTATCTTTATAAAGTAATTTTATTTTTGAAATTATTTAACCAAACGTTGGTTAAGATCTGTTCAAGTAATCTTGTATTCAAATATGTTTAAGTAATACCATTCTACGCATTGTTTAGGTAATCTCATTGTTTAGATAATTTTTCGTAGAACTGTTGAATCTTGTTCTCGAAACTGTTCAAGTAATATTGGTTCTTGGAATTGTTTAAGTTATATGTTCTAAAAACTGTTCAAGTAATATTGGTTCTTGGAATTGTTTAAGTAATATTGTTCTAAAAACTATTTAAATAAAACTGATTCTTGAACTGTCTAAGTAATTTTGTTCTGGGAGCAGTGTAAGTACTTCTATAAAAAGTTTAAAAGAGCTTGATCACATATATAGATCATATATAAAGATCATATATAAAGATCATATATAAAGATATATACATTATAGTAATATACTTTTTTTAAAGAAATTAAAGAATTTGTTTAAATTTTATAAACCTTTTATAAAAGAGTAAATAGTTATATTTTACAGTCAGTTGAAGCTAATTTTAATAAAATCTTTTAAATTAGTCAGAGATGCAAATATACATGGTGAAATAAATGGATAGATATCATGAAAAAGAGATGCAGATATGGTGAAAATGGATAGATATGGTGAAAAAGAGATGATGTAACAGAAGTGGAAACATAGATGGTGCATACAAATTATTTAAAAAAAAAAACATTAAATATATTCAATAGTATTTATCATTATGATTATATCATTACAATGATTGTTAAAAAAAAATATTTATATAAATAAATAACTTAATTTGAGTACAAAAAAAATATTTACAAAATAAAGTTTTTTATAAAAATTCATCTAAATAATATTAATTTATTTATTAAAATTTGGGGAAGGAAATTTAATGGATCATGGAAATTATAACTTAATACATTAAAAAATTCTGCCAGTCTATTGATGTGACACTATTGGTAGACTTTAGTTTATTTGCACCATTCACTCCATTACAGTGACCATGATTTTGAATCCCATTTCCTATAAAAGTAAACACACATTTATTTTAATGCAAAATTTTTTGTGTGTTGTGTGTTGAGATTTTTCTGTTAAAAAAAACATACCCAATATCCAATTACTGGGGCTTGTCTCAAATTTGCGATTATATAATTTTTTATGAAAAGCAATACCCAAACTGATTCCAAATAGAAAAACGAAAACAATAGTAAATATCATAATATATGTTAATTTCATTTGAGAATTATTTTGATTGATCAAAGATGCAGCTAAAAAGAATAACAATAGTATTTAATGTTTGCTGCAACAACAGTGAATTATTGCAAAGCATAATAGTGTGGTGTAGAAACTACATATATAACTCTAAATTTGCAACAAAACATTTCAATAATTTTAAATTTATTTGAAAATTATTGAAATTGATCAATTCAATGATTTTGAATTTATAATGTAATTTGCTAAAGGGCTCTGATACTTTTTGATCACTTAAATCATTCTTTTTTAATTCTCTAAATATTTTCGTTTACTATAACACATCCTTCTTGCACATGGTGTTTATAGAAATCATTTATACTAAGATATTAATTAAAGTTCATTTGTTTGTTGTCATGGTGTTTTTTGTCAAGGATGCAAAGTATAATTAAATTTAAAATTAAAACTTTTAGTATGAAATTATTTAAAGATTAGAAAACTATGTGAATGCTATACCACTACAACACTAATTTAATATCTTGGCTGAAGTATGAATTTTCTACATATTCATGTTTCATTTCGTGGCAACTTTGATCTCCAAGACTACTTATAACCATCTATAAAATATTAATGTCTTACTACAGTAGTATTATTTGTAAAAGAAAAAGATTTTAAAATCATATATTAATATCAAACAAATGTCTTATAGAAACAGCTCGGGCTAAATTTTAAAAACCAACAAATATTTTATAAACTTTGATTGAAATAAGTAATCTGTACCCAAATAGTGACTTTGAATAATTTGCTAATATTTAATTTACTTGACAGATTAGTATTTTTATATATAATTTATTTTCAATTTTTACTTGACACTAGTTTTAAAAGTTTTGGAACACAGAAAAATTAACAGGCATTTACAAATCTATAATAGGCAACAGGCAACTGTAGTTGTATAGTTTACTGATGCTAAAATGTTATATTATTTGTAACTTTTATCAAAAATTATTCCCAGGTGGAGAGCATTAACAAATGTACAAATAAGGAGGATAACATTTTTTAACATTTACAGCAAATAAGGAGGATGTCATTATTTAACAAATGTACAAATAAGGAGGATAACATTTTTCAACATTTACAGCAAATAAGGAGGATGTCATTATTCAACAAATGTACAAATAAGGAGGATAACATTTTTTAACATTTACAGCAAATAAGGAGGATGTCATTATTCAACAAATGTACAAATAAGGAGGATAACATTTTTCAACATTTACAGCAAATAAGGAGTATGTCATTATTCAACTTTTACAGAGAGTAAAAAGACAACAATAACATAATTTTAAAATATTGTTGCCAAAAAAAGGTACCAACTTTTTAACAAAACTAAAAAAAAAATTTATTTTATTTAATTCTTTTACGTGGTGTTTTCAATAAAAATAATTATTTTTAAAATATCTATATTATTTCAATTCATTTGAGACCCAGATCTATGTACATAAATGCATACATAAATGTCAATATACAGTTTAAATCATAAATGATTTAAACTATATATTGACATTTAAAAAAATCTACTTTGTAAAATTTACCTCTGGAAGACAACGATTGTGTTACAGTAGAAGTTGATGGAGTGAAAACAGTAGAAGTTGATAGGTTGGGAACATTAGAAGTTGATAGAGTGGGAACAGTAAAAGTTGATAGAGTAGGACATGTAATAGGAATTTCTCTTTTCTCTATAGATACAGTTCCAATCAATTGATTTGTACAGGTGCGCGTCTGTAGAGAGACACATGAGTTATTAGACTTAATTAACTGTAAATAATTTGTTTCCCATGAGGTACAATCTACTTGACAATCTAAAATAATATGACAAACTAAAGCAAAATTACAAAAAAAAAAAATTATGTTTTATTAATCAGGTAAGCTTGAATCAAAATATTTTTGATTTCAGCATTACCAACCATAATAGTCTTTCAAAAGTTTCAATATTTTCAAAAATAAAAGTGTTTTAAAAATTTCCATATTATCAAATATAAAAGTGTTTTAAAAGCTTCCATATTATCAAATATAAAAGTGTTTTAAAAGCTTCCATATTATCAAATATAAAAGTGTTTTAAAAGCTTCCATATTATCAAATATAAAAGTGTTTTAAAAGCTTCCATATTATCAAATATAAAAGTGTTTTAAAAGCTTCCATATTATCAAACATAAAAGTGTTTTAAAAGCTTCCATAGTATCAAATATAAAAGTGTTTAAAAGCTTCCATATTATCAAACATAAAAGTGTTTTAAAAGCTTCCATATTATCAAACATAAAAGTGTTTTAAAAGCTTCCATATTATCAAACATAAAAGTGTTTTAAAAATTTCCATATTATCAAATATAAAAGTGTTTTAAAATATTATCAAACATAAAGATTACCTTTAAAATAACAAGCATCTGAGTTGCATTTTTTACAAGTTTCTTCTGGTGAACAAACATATATTTTTAACCTCAATTTGTATTGTCCACTTTTATAAACATAATTACAACTTCCATTTATTAGATTTGTTAAATTAGGTTTAAAACGAAATCCTGTACCTAGAAAAAAGAGGGAAAGTGAATAATATAATAAATAAAAGAAGGGAATTGTGAATAATATAAACAAAATTAAAATAATAATTTATAGCAAACCTGTGTGTAGACAAAATATAAGCTATTATATTTATATGGTATTGTCTATAACTCTCAATGTTGGGATTAAAAACGTTTTCCCCAAGTTTTCCCCTCATTTAAAAACCGATCGACACTAAGAAAATTGATGTTTGAAATTAACTTTTTTTTAAATTTTTTTTTTATTTTTTTATGTTATTAAAAATAAGTAACAATCTTAGGCAACAGGGTTTTTAATTTTTTTAAATTTACGAATTTTTTACAACTTACACTCAATGACACTCGTGTGGTGCTTTAATCTGGTGTCATAAAAACTTTTCTCATTGAATGTACATAAAATAGACTTTATCTCAAATTGTGCAAAAAAATATTTAGTAGATTAAAAAAACGTACATTTCATGAACTATATATTTTAACAGCTGTACTATATGTGATAAAATGGATATTATATTTTATTCAATGAATTCAATGAATAAAATGAATATATTTTATTCAACAATTAACTTTATTTTTTTAATAAAAAAGTCTTTATCTTTTAATAAAAAATTACAAAATTTACCAGGCAGTAATTTTTTAAAATTTACCGGTAAATTTACTAGTAAATTTTACCTTCACAACACTACTAGCAATTGCATTTTAAATTTATCAGTATTTTGCATTCTTTTTCATTGCGTGACGTTAGAATAATAGGGTTTTATCCCCATTTTTTAGCATTATGAGAATTTAATTTTCGATTTTTAATTATTTAAATGTTTTACAGTTGTAGTTGTTTATATTGATAAAATATATATCTTTTATGTTATTTATGTTTTATAATTAATCTTGCATTATTAATTTCATAATTTTTAAAATTGCTAGGCTAGAAATTAATTGTTAATTATTAAATAAGGTCGAAATTGACAATGAAAAAACAAAAAACCAACAATTTTTAAAGTTATATAAATAAAAATAAAAAGATTAATATATTAAAATTATATGATTTTGAACACAAAATTAATATTATAATTAAAAACAGAAAAATAAATTTTTTACCATGAAAATTTGGACTTATACTTATATTACTTAATAAATAATAAACAATGTGTATTCTAAGGAATAAATTTAACAAATTTTATATTTTGATCTTGTAATTTAACAAATTTTTACTTTTAATTTTAAAAATTTAAGAGAGTATAACAAATTTTGTTAAATTCTCTTAACAGTACAAAAGGGAGAGAGAACCCTATTATTCTAACAACACGATTGGCTAAGTTTAACATTTATATTATTATTTACATCATTTTAAAATATAAATAAATTTTATCAACTCTTGTAAAAAAAAAATGATATTTGATAATTGATTATAATAATTCAGAAAAATATAAAATAAATATATAAAAATATAGTAAAAAGTAAATATAAAAAGTTAATATGGGTATATAAAAATACAGGTTTCAAAGTTAATAGAAGTGCTCTAATCTAGAGCTTGATTGTCATTTTTTAAAAATATTTTTTTACATAACGTAACATGCATTTTCACAAACTGTTAAAAAAGTACTGATTTTTATCATTATTGCTATTATAAACTTAAGTTGATATACAAGGAAAGGCATGCAGTCGCATGTCTTATATGATCACACATTTTTTTTTTGACAACTTGGCCATGGTTTTTTGCTTATGTTAATAATTTGTGTTATAATATGCGCTGAAAAAACCAAACTAATAACATATTATTTTTGTTCTTAAAATAGAACTACATTATGTAGCGCAAGTGATTAAGGGATTGATATTTGGAAAAACAATTTCATAAAGAAAAACAAAGGACCTACCAAGGGGAATTTGCTGATCAGTTTCTAGATATGCTGATATATTAGTTCCAGGAACATTTTTTATAGCGTTTCCTAAACCTGGAAATATTTGAGAAATGATTAGAATAATGATTAGGAAAAACAGCAAGAATGAATGAAAACTTTAAAGTCAAAAACATGGCTTATGCATGTAGAACATTTTAAGATAAATATTTACTGGAAATGATTCAGACCTCCAATGACTTTTTAAATAGTATTAAAAATGAATTTAATAGAAATAACAGAGACCTATTGAAATAAATATAAACTAGGAACAAAAGTAGAAGCAGTGGTTTTTCGAAATCAAATTAGTCAACAAGATTGACTGTAATTCATAAAGTAAGTGTAAAGACTGTAATAACATGATAAGTATAACCCTATGTCTTCTGCATCCATTCACAATAATTTAAGAAAAAGTAAATTTTTCATTGAACCAAATCAGTTTGAAGCATTATTTGATTTTCTTGGTTTACTTGATTTACTGGAAATTACTGGAATTCCATGACCAAAAATATTAAACAAAAGAAACCAAAGCCATTTGCCTTGAACATTAAAGTACAGCTACTTGTTACTTATTTAAGACATCAATGTGGTCATAACATTGTCACTTTAGCTCATATGTATAGTGTCAATGAGTCTTTCATATGTAGCATATTTACTACACAAATGTTTCTTTTTTGTCACTTTAAAGTTTATAAGGTTTTGATGTTTCCACTTCAACAATAAGTTCAAAAGCTTCTTCAACAATTTTTATTTTAATTTCAACTACATAAGGTGCTCAGTTGGTTTTACTGAATTTGTCTATAAATACCATGTGATTATGATAAACAGGATAATAACTATCTTTCATATAACCAGCATTGTACCATAAAATGTCTAACTGCTGTAAATCCTAATGGAGTTGCTTACTTTGTTTCAGACCTTTATTAGGGAAGCATTGATAATGTCATAATTTTTCAACAGTGTGGTATTTAGTATTTTACTAACCCTGGTGACAGTCTATTAAAATCAATAAATGAAATTTGATTACTTGAAATAAAAATTTATATATTTTTTATTAATGAAATCATTCCTTAAGTTCTATTAGCTTCGCTTTTTTGCATTTCAATTCACAGAGAATACTCTCTTTGTCAATTGCAGCTCTTTTCAAGGCATTATATTTGGATAAGATAGTTATACCATTCTTTTTTTCTGCCTCAAATGCAAAGTTATCAGCATCTTTTTGAAGCTGGATAATAGTTTTTTCCAAAGAGAAAACCTTAATATTTATTTCCTGAATTTCTAAAGCAATCTCAATCTCTTTTTTATTCTTCTCCATGCTCAATTTGATTTTAGATTGATGAACTAGTGATTGTTGATATTTTTTATGAGAAGATTTAACATACGATAACAAATTCTTTGACATTGGAAAACTCTGAGGTTCAAAATTTTTTCGTTTCATATAGTCAAATATTAATCGTTAAGAAATAAGACTTTCCATGTCAAGATTTTCAACAAGAAGCATTTTGTTTTCAGTAAATCCTCGCTCAACAGTTGCCTGACCATGAGATAGAACTAAAACAATTTGGGCAACAGACCAAAGGGATTTATAGTTAGGATCTGAACCAATGTGCTTCCAGAGAAATGAGTCCAACCGATCTTTAGATTCATCAAATTCTTTGAATAGTTCTGTGTTAACCTTAACAAAATTTGACAAAAATTTTGAATACTTTTGTTTGGTTTTTATTGCGGTTTCAGAAGTCAGTTTTTTCAAACCAACAAGGATTTCAAGCATTTTATCTAATAAAGCTGTTGATAACGCTGCCGGTTCCAACATAACTTTAGGAGACAAACAAGAAGTACTTCGAACAAGATTATTTTTCAATATACTTTTTTCTGTAAAATGCGCACATAAACTAGACAAGAACTGTAAAGCATCATAGTGAAGATCGGAAAAAGTAGCAGCTGTTAGACATTCATAGTTAGCTCGGCGAGAAGGAAACTCATCAAATATTTTATACAGAGAAAAAAGTAGTTTCTTAATATTCCAGTCAGTAGCCACTTCCCCAGTTTGGAAAGAACGATGAAGGGTATGGAGACTACATGTTCCGATATTAATTAATGGATCAAGTAAATCTTCTTTTCTACTCTCATTGACCAGATTTAAAAAGGCTAAATTTACATTAGGTCCGTCAGAAGAAACTTTAATGACTTTACTACGATCCAAAGAACTTAAACAATTATTATATTTTGAAAAAATATCACCAGCAGATGCTTTACCCAAGAACTCAGAACTCCAATAAGATGTTTTTACTTCATTTTCTGTGTCATCCCAAAAACAAACATGTAAATCCATTTGACTTTTTTTAGAAATTTTGTTATAAGATTCATCAAATAATGTGGTATAATAAGGGACTTTGTTCAATTCGTTTAGCATTGTTTCTTTAACAAAAGGGGCAACACCGTGACATAAAATGTAACTGCATTTTGTTTTTCCACAAGTGAAACTTTGAGCAATTTGACTGTTTGGAAACATGGAGCAAAACAGCTTACTTTTTGATTCTGAAGAACTGTAAGTATATTTACATTTCAAAACCTTTAGTGACCAAATTACCTCTGAATTTAATATCTGATCTCTTGACATCATATCAATTAAATTTGTTTGCTTTTGAGCTGCTTTTTGTTCTAGTGGATTAGTTCTTTCTTACTGCTTTTGGATGGACATCTTTCCACATGTTTCTTCCCTTTGGCGTGTTGCTTTATATTTTCTGTTCAACTGTTTGCAATGCTAAATGACTTCGAACAAACTTTACAAAATGCACTTGCTTCATCTTTTTTATCTTTTTGCAACCAGCATTTGAACTCCTCTTCAATGAGCCACAAGTCTTGAAATTTACTTTTATACTTAGGCATTATTTATACTTTTCTAAACTAAACAAATAAATCCTTTATGGTAGACATACTAGAAAATAACTACATTCCAATCAATTTCTACACAGATATAGAGGAGAATTGATCAGATTTTCAACTGATAAGGACTTTAGAGGAGATTTTTTAAAAAAGAGGACTTTAGAGGATTTTAAAGGAGCTGTGGCCACCCTGTATATATATATATATATATATATATATATATATATATATATATATATATATATATATATATATATATATATATATATATATATATATATATATATATATATATATATATATATATATATATATATATATATATATACATATATATATATTGGGTGTTGATGCACAATTTAGAGAATCAAACAAAAAGTGCAGACTATTTTAATGGGGGTAAAACAACCAAATATTTTATATTTGAATTTTAGTATTAATGATTTTTCATTTTTTTAAATAATAAATTTAATGAAAATTTAAAAAAAAATTAAAAAAAAAAGAATTAGTTTTTTCAATTTCCATTGATAAAAACAGTAAAACTTGGCAAAAACATTTGCAAACAAATTTTTAAATTAGTACTCAAAAGTATTATATCTGACACAATATATAAACATATGTCAAATAATAGTTTATTAAATAAACATCAACAAGGATTTGTAAAGTGGAAATTTTGTTTAACAAATCTAATTGAAACAATGGATCTTTTCAGTAAATCGCTAGCAGAAAACATTCCAGTAGATATTTTTAATCTTGACTTTACTAAAGCATTCGATACGGTACCTCATGAACAATTATTAATCAAACTTAAATCATATGGAATAATAAATGTCATTTGTAACTGGATTAGTGACTTTTTATCTAATCGACACCAAAGAGTGATACAAAGCAATGAAGTATCAAACTTAGAACTGATAACAAGCGGTGTTCCCCAAGGATTGGTACAGATGATACAAAGCTAATCAGGAAAGTAGCTAGCTCTGAAAATTGTCAATTGCTTCAAAATCAAATTAATCAAGCCTGTGAATGGTCAGAATAACCTTTGCTATATTTATAAACTAGATGACAATATATTACCAGTCTCTGATACCCAAAAAGATCTTGAAATTACTATGTCATCAAATCTCAAATGGAAAAGTCACATAACTAATTGTACATCAAAAGCTTATTCAACACTTGGAATGTTGAAAAAAAAATTTTATTACATCAACAAAAAATGTTTAAGATACTATACGTAACATTTATAAGATCCATCTTGAACTTGCGATACAGGCATGGTGCCCCTACATTAAAAGTGATATTATTGCACTTGAAAAAATTCAACATTACGCCACTAAATGGATACCCCAGATTCGAAAACAAAGTTACAAAACAAGAATTAAAATACTTGGCTTAAGCACACTGGAAAAAAGACGTAAAAGAGAAGACTTAATTCAAATATACAAACTACTTAAAAAAATAAATATTGTAGAACTAGATTGTAATATGTTTGCCTCCTATCAGCCCAACACAAGGGGCCATAACTTTAAAATCAGAAGAAATAGTTAAAAACTGCAATATTTGTCATCAATTTTTAACTAAAAGAGTCTCATCAATGTGGAACAAACAGATTTATCATCAAAAGATTATCCAGACTTATCAACAAAAGATTATCCAAACTACCAGATTATCATCAAAAGTGAAAATTTGAACTCATTCAAATATAAATTGATAAATATCTAGAGCTGCATGATTTGTAATTTATAATTTATCTTATTTACCAAGAATAATTACACAATGTCAAAGTGAAATTAATTACCAATAATTTCACTTGTAGTTTTCGAACTATTACAGCTTTCTATTATATTATTTTATATAAAAGGTCCATATTTCTAGCACAAATAATTAAGTATTTCCTTAATATACTAAATGGTAAAAGTCGAAATTGTTAAAAAATATTTTTACTCTCATTATTATTTTCTTATTTTCTTTTTTTCTTTCTCAATTATTATTTTTTATTTCTCAATTAGTAGTGAAAAATAACAAACTAAAATAAAAAAGAAAACAAAAATAGTAAAATATTATTTTTTTTACAAAACTTTTATTTATTTAACTTTCAATTTTTTTTTAGTTTATTTTATTTAGATTTTTTATTTAGTATAACGTCTGTTCACAAAAAATCCGGAATGAAAAATTGTTTGTAATTGAATACAAAATTAATCGATTTTTGACAAAAATTTTAACTAAAATGAGAGACTGGACATCGTTAACTATTTTATAACTGAAAGTGGTCCTAAATCAGCGGCTTTTCGAACTTTAGTTTTGGCTGAATCCATTAGGTTGAAAAAGTAGTCTGGATCGAACTCTTTCAACTTTAATCGAATTCTATTCTTAAGGTGGTCAAAATTTTTCGCAGTAAATCCATTTCTATAAACTTTTGCTTTTAAATGTGCCCAAAAATTTTCAATTGGCCTTAACTGCGGTACATTTGGGGGGTTATCTTTAGTGTCTACAAAGTTAATACTTAAAGTGTTGTAAGTTTCTAATGTGTGTTTTGCATAATGACATCTCGCTCCGTCAGGCCAAAATAAAATTTTCATGTTTTGATGCTTGGAATTTATAAATGGATGAAGTCTTTTTGTAATACATTCTTTAGAATAAGTTTTTGCATCCAGTGCACAGTTTTTTACAGCAAAATAAGGCAATGAATGACCGAAACGACTGATTGCAATCCAAACGAGAACGTTCTCGTCAAACTTTTTTTTGAAGTTGAACTTAATGTTAGGATCAGTTTGAGAACTATCCTTTGTATAGTAGCCAGAGTTTTGTGAACAATTTGCACCATTTACACAGAAATAAGATTCATCCTACATGATGATTTCAAACTCATTTGATGGCTTGAAATAAGTTTTTGAAAGTTTTAATAAGTTTTTCTTTTGTTTAATTTCTTGCTTTTCTGTTGTTTTTGGTGCATTTTTTCTTTTGGTATACTTCAGTCCATGCATACTTAATAATCTATTTACATATGAAACGCTTATCTTATATTTTAGTGCCAATTTTCTTTGTGAAATCCCAATTCTCTCTTTTGCTCTTGCAATCATGGACTCTATCTTTTCTGGTGTGATTTCAAAAGGTTTTCTGCCGCAACCGATTTTTCTTTTTATTGGCAAATTATTTTCAGACCTTTTAATTATGTCATAAATTGTAGATTTAGCGATTCTCATTTTCTTAAAATGATCCACTGTAAATTTCTTTCCACTGTTAATGTTTTGTTTATAAAAATTTCCAATCACATTTCTAACATTGTTCTCTTTTAGATGCTCCATGTTTATTTGAATTAATTATTTAAACTCAATTTTGCCACAAAATGAAACTGTTGTTGTTGACCAATTAAATTTAAAAATTTCGTATCGAAAATTCGAAATTTAGAACAATTTGTGTACATTTGAAATCAGTCCGGATTTTTTGTGAACAGACGTTAGTACTCGTTTCCTTACTGTTTTATTCTCTGCTGTTTCTTATAGCATTTTTTGTCTCAAATTTTTTAAATGCTTATATATAAACGTTATATAAAAACGTGGTCAAGTTGTCTGAAAAAATTACTTAAAGGTGAATGAACAAGGCGTACAACCACACCCATTCCTGGAAAGGCTTATATATATATATACATATATATATATATATATATATATATATATATATATATATATATATATATATATATATATATATATGATTTGTACTTTTTTCAAAAGCTTCACTGGCTGTACCCTCAGTTATTTAGGAAATTGTAAATTTACATCATTATCATCTGCCAATGTTTTAAGATGGTTTTCCTGATTTTTCCTTGATCTACTATCTATTTTGCTTGATTTAACTTAAAGTTACTCAAACTCAATTTCAGAAAAAAGACATATTCTCTTAGAAAAACGCTGTTACAAAAATTACAAAAATATAAACATAAATACTATACAAAGTACCAAAAGAAGTTCATAAAATTGTAAACATAAATCTGTTTAACAAAACTTTACAACATATCCCTGGTTTTTTCAAAATTTAACCTAATTTCCCTAATTATTGCAGAAAAGTGTTGTAAAACTCTTTTCTGCAATAATCATTGCATTACTACATACATACAAACTCATTAACCTAGCAACTCATTAACCTAGCAACTCATTAACCTAGCAACTTGTTACACTTATATTAGTTTAATATTATAGTTAAATAAAAACTATAAAAAAATACATATATTTAGTCTTACTAATTTCTTATAATCTTTTTTGTAAGCAAATGTGTATCAAAAAGTGGCTTAATGTAAAAATAAAAAAAAAATAAAAAATGATCTTAAATAATATCTGATAATCTTTACTGTAACCAGTATTTATTTAATATCATTAAATAATACAATATGAATAATAAAAAATGTTTGAATAATACCTATTATATAATATGTTTCACCATCCTTAAATGTTGATTTTCCACTGGGCGAGTACTTAGAAAATACCATTGTATAGCTATCTATAGAGTTTTTACCACTGTTACAATTCAATATTTGTTCACTTGCACCTAGAAAATAAAATTCAGAAATAAAAAAGTTGACAAAAGAAACTAATTTTATCAAGAAGAAACTATTTCTTTCAAGTTAATCGTTTCAATAATATATTAGGGTACATCAAAGGCCTCATCATTTTAAAAAATTAGTTTAAATCAATTTTACCCATATATTTTTTTAATTATAAAAAATAAAAAGGGTAAGATTCAGAAGAATTGGACAAATTTTAGGAGGTCCACCAGTTTTGAATTTTTACTATTTTAATATGCTTTACGCCAACTGCAAATATCGTTATCCCCATAGCTTTTTTGTTTCATAACAGAAGTTTACATTACTCACTCTTACACTGATATTGGTCATTTAAAAGTTAAATTCAATTCATTTTTTTCATTCAGGGAGATACAGGTGTGCGCAGCTATTTTGCTCGACCACCTGCAGAACATTCTGATAATGTTCTTCTCCCTTAGAAGAAGCCAGAAGGTTTGCACTGAGTTGACAATGTTAATGGCATTCACAGAGCATGTACCACATTCTCTGTGAAGTAGTAAGATGCCAGGAAATGAATGTGGTGCTCTTGCATACAATCATCTTGCAGAAAAGACTGATGGTGTTTTGATTATGCCACAGCATAGATTTGGAACAGGAAAGCTGAGAACAGGATTTAGAAAGCTGAGCTTTTTCCACTAATGAAATAACAATATCAACAAGATTAGCATATCTGGTTGGACAAGACTTGTGGTATATCTTTCACAACCTTCAGTTGAACCCAGAGTTCTTGATGTATGATGATGTTTGTAATTGGTCAAATTAGCCTCATTAAATGCATCATTAGTCATCCTGAATGCCATTAACATTGTAAACTCAGTACAAACTTTTATGATAGATTTCTTGCACATCTTTCACAGATGTGCAAGAAATCCACCATGAACTATAGATAAGTGAGACAAAATTAACAAGGTGACAGAGTTTTAAAGTCTGCTGGTTTGTTGTTTTTAATCTTCTTGGAAATTTCCTGGATCTGCTGCTCAAAGCAAATTTTGATAGCATAGATTAGTTTTGCCATCTGGCTTTGTGAAATGCCTTAAGTTTCTTAAATATAATCTGTTTGCAAGTTTCTCCTGCTTCTCAATAAAAGACTGCCATCAAAATCTCTTGCTGTTTCATTGAAATCGCCTCTGTCAAAGCGAGATAATTATTCTGCAATTTCTAAAGTTGCAGATATTGATGAGAGTTACGATGCCCATCTGTGTGAACCTAAAAGCGCAAAGTGTTTAAGAAATCTGAGATTTTAAAGTTTCAATCTTTAGATTGTGATAATAAATTTAAACAAAATGAAGGCCATAAACCATAAAAAAAACTTTACCTAGCTGCTGCCAGATTGTGACATGCTGCTGTCACATGTCAAGTGTTGCTGCTGTAGAATTGAATGTCATGCTTACCACTGAACCACAACATTTCAGTGAAAAAAGCAGTTTAAAGTTTAGGTCTGCTACAATGTCATCTGTGTTTCGATCTGTGCCAGGCAAATATGCAGGAATGTTAAAAAGTTTGAGCTCATTTGCATTTCCAACAACTACTGCAAGTTGCTTTTCAGAAATGCTATTTTTTGATAAAGAAGGGAGTAACTTTGAGATCCAGCATTATGTTAGCAGCTTCGGAGCAACCCACTGATCTCTGTAGTTAAGAGCAATGTTTTTTGCCATTTGATGAGAACATTTATCAGTGGTTGAATATGTTGCAAAGACCTTGGATGAGTATTCTCCAGCCTCTGCAATAAGCACAGCACTGTATGCAGCTTGATGTATAGGAGTCATCTTCAGCCTTGTTGCAGCAGAAACGAACTTCAGCTTTTGTAGAATATCATGAGGAGTAAATGCTGGTGTACCAGTTAGGGCTGAATGATAATGACTTCAGGAAGTTTTTCCAGACAAAGCAGAAACATTTGATTTAGGTATTGAAAGAATGTTACTGTCACTGCTATCAGTATCTGCTAACATTGAACCTGCAGTGTTCAGTTTATTTGACACAATGTGTCAAATAAACTGAACACTGCAGGTTCAATGTTTATTTGAAAATGCATATCTTAAGTGTTCTTCATGTGTTGTTTAACATTACTAGGCCAGAGTGCAAATAAAAAGTTTATTTGAAAATGCATATCTTAAGTGTTCTTTGTGTGTTGTTTAACATTACTAGGCCAGAGTGCAAATATCTTAGACTTTTATTTGTTAAATTATTCTAATGCACCCTGCAGTTAATCTGAATTTGATTGGAATGGCTTTTAGTTTTGCATCGCCATCTGATATTTTTGAAGCTTCTGTCGTGATTAAATTTCACTAACCATTGGAAAGCTTTTCCATAAAAGATGAAAATCTGAGCTAGTACCATTTTAGTACTTTGAAATATAATGCAGCTTTATTGCACTCCAGTTTGAAATATAATGCAGTTTTCTTGCACTCCAGTTTGAAATGTAATGCAGCTTTCTTGCACTCCAGTTTAAAAACATATCAAGGCCTGTAACAGGCCCTGATATGTCTTCAACAATAGACTACAGAAGCAGACATTTTCTGAAATTGAAACACAAGATTATTAGCATGAATTAACCTTACATGACAGTTAGTTTAGTGCTAGTGCTAAGGTCAAAATGCCAGTGTTTGGCCTAAATTTGTGATAACTGTCTTTCCATTCAATTTATAAATTATGACAAGTTGACAACAAAAAAACATAGGACACAAACAACATGGCAATAACCATAAGAGTTTATAAAATATATATTTTTTAGATCTATGTTATACATGTTAACATAAAAAAATCTGAGACTCCAAAGCATTTGCTATTATGTTACCATTGCTTTTCATCAAAATAAAATCATCAAATGAAAAAGTTTTCAAGCTCAATAACAAAATTACTTTTTATTATAAATTTAATAACTATTATTATTTACCTGTTGCATTACAAGTATCATACATATACTGGTTTGTTCCAAGAAAATAGGCATTTTCATATAGTATATCAGTATCATCAATTGATTGGCTGTAAGGAATGCTACTGTCGCGACATTTAAAATTTAATACATCATCATACTCAACTTGAATAGTATTCTCACAAGCAAATCTTAAAAAAGGATATATATATATATATATATATATATATATATATATATATATATATATTAGGGTGACCCAAAAATGCAAAAAAAAAAAAAAATTTAGCTAAGGTTTTAATTGGATTTTGCTACATAATATGAGTTCACAGGCAAAATTTTAAGTATGCTGGATGCTTGTAACAACTACAAGTAAAAATCCATTTTTACAAAGAATTAGCATTTTTATTTTATAAACAAGTAAATTTTACATGTTTGTACAATAACATAATATCTTTTACATTGTATAAGGTATTTGATATGATTATTTCAGACATTATAAATAATACATGTATTTTAATGTTAAAAATCAATTTATTTGATGAATTTCAACAGATATCATTTTCCTGTTCAAGCTTACGTAATAGAGGAAATAGTAGACTAATGCTGATAAACAATAAAAATATTTTTGGTTTTTATTTAACCCACCACCCCACCGTTACTACTGTCTGCCATTAGGTTCTTATTTTATTATTACTAAATATGCTTAAAAGCACAATTTATTAATTTTTATATTTAACTTTATAAATGTTTAAATCAATTCTTTGTTCAAACATTTGAATATTTCAGAAAAATGGGAAAAGCTAAAAAAGGAGCTGTAAAGCCAATCAATTACAACCCAAGAAGACCTGTCTATCTTCTTGAAACTCCACTGAGCTCTCTACTTAGCAGGTGATTGCCTACTAATGATCATGTTATTAGATATTTTCTGTATGTTATTTCCCCCAGGGTTAAAAGATTCAGACCAATCAAGACAAATATTGATTATGCACAAAAGACATCTTCTGGAGATATGAAGTGCATTCGGTATAATGTTATTTAGCATCTTTTAATTATATCCTAGTCATTTCTCTCTCTTCCCCATCTTTTTTAATATCATGTAAACAAGGAGATCACTAGGGAGGGTTTGATTGCAGCAATCACACCTAATTGTATGAGAGTTGGTATCAGTATAAGAGATCAAACTTTATTCATCTCGAGCATTGTAAATTATCTTGAAGGAGATATCACAGAGTTAAGGATAAGCTTAGAGTCGATTAGAAGAGGCAGATACAAACTAATTCATTCTGAAGGTAACAAATTATACTGTTTTAACATTTTAGCTTTTAGATTGTAATAATATAAAAACCTGTTTTAGATTACTGATTGATAAAGTTATTAAATTTAAAGATAAAAATCTGTTTAGGTTGTAAAATCCGAAATGAGTATATGGAAACAACGAAGAACAAATAATTTGTGCTACACTGTGATGGAAAAATTGTAAAGCACATAAAAAAAGAATCGAGGAAAAGAGTTCTTATTGATATACCAGCAATATCAGTTACAAGTCCTGAGTTTTCGTCAAACAATGATTTACTTCTTGGAGTTGTTCCTGTGGAAAATGGAAAAGCTAACGATATGGCTAATGTACTCCAGAATCTGGTAGAATATTTCAAAATATCAGAGAATATCATTGCTGTGTGTACTGGTATGATAGTTATAAAAACAAGAAAAAAATCAGGAGCAATTGTAACTTTAGTCAGAGTTTTGGGACGATCAGTTCTCTGCACCATATTGCAGAGATCCATATAAAATAGGGCATTAAAGCTATTTTTAAAAAGCTAACTGTGGGACCATCTTTACCAGATTTATAGCACGCTTGGATGAATAGTTATTTCCCTATTGTTAGTAAAGCAGGAGCTGAGAAAAAAATCAAGAAGTATCCCGAAAGTGAGCTGGTTGTTGGAAGTGATCTTCACAGTTTATCTTAAGTCTAAGAAATTCAATGCTGATTCGCTTGAGTATAATGTTTTTCCTAGGAATGATTATAAACACTTGGTAAAATACCTTGAATTTCTATTTGAATATCAATTCCACCATGCTTGAAAAGTTTAGTTTGTACCAACCAGGTGCTAACCATAATGCCAGATTTATGTGTGACAGCATCTACTTGAGGCTTCTGGATATTACGTCTCCTATTATTAACTTCCTGAGTGATGATCAGAAAACTTTAGTCTCAAAGGCTAACTTTATTGATGCCCTATCATTTGCTCTTTTATTTCTCAAGTCCAGCAAAGCTGAACATGCAGTAGAAAATGGCCTTAAGGAATACAAAGCTGCTAAAATCATCCAAAAGGATTGGGATTATGATGTTGGTAATGCTTTATTAAAAAGCCTTCAAAACCATACTTGGTATCTTTCCCAAAAGTGTGTTACTATGGTGTTGGCTGATCCTGATCTTGACAGGTCTATTTAATGTCTGTCAAAGGAAAGCTACTTACATTCCCTGTACCTAACAAGAATGATTTAAGCTTAGAGGCTCTAGAGAGGGTATCCATCTCAGAGTCTACTAAATTAGAAGACTTAATTACAAAGGAAAGTTGGCTCCTGTTTATTATTACCGACACCACTAGTGTTGTCAGGTTGTGTTATCAGACTGAGGGAGATTTGGAGGAACTTGCATCTTATAAAGACTTTTGCAGCTTTGTATGTGGGTTAAGTGTCACTAATGATTGTCCAGAAAGAAACATTGGTCTTATCCAAGAATATGTTGACACATCCCACAATGAAGATCAACGCCAGAATATATTGTTGGTTGCCCAAAAGCTTGTCTAAAAAAAATGCCACAGTCTTAACTCGTGTTAAATAAATGATGTTAGAAAATAATTGTATTGATTTTTTTTTAATCAGTTTATTATCTTAAATAAAGACAATTTCAAAAAACAGTTTTAAATTTAATTTTTTTCATAATTAAGTTAAAAATGTATCATTTTCACCAAAATTCATGTTTGGAATTTAAACTCAATTTTTACTTGTAGCTGTTCCCAACACATTTAAAAGGAAATAATTTTAGTAAGGACTCTTTATATGGCGTATAATGGATTAACCTTAGCATGTTCAAAATCTAAAAAAAAAATTTTTGGCATTTTTGGGTATATATATATATATATATATATATATATATATACATATATATATATATATATATATATATATACATATATATATATATATATATATATACATATATATATATATATATATATATATATATATATATATATATATATATATATATATATATATATATATATATATATATATATATATATATATATATATTATATTATACATTATATATTATAAAAACTTTTAACAAATAATTTTTAAAAAGATTCAGCTACCAACATAATTATACATATGTAACTCATTTCAGACAACTCTTCTAATTATATTTATATTATTTAAATTTTTTAAACAAAATTATCTTAAACATTTAATATAAATTAAGAACATCAAGTTGTCAAATTAACAAATTTATTTTTATATTACTAAAATTTTTTCAAATAATAATAAATAAAAATATTTCAGCTTCAAATTGTCAAACTAATTTTTGACTAGATTTTGAGTTTTTTGCATTTTGCATAGCAATAGGGTAAAATATTCAGTGCTTTACATGTGCTTAGTAAGTGACCGGGGTTGATATTTAAACGAGGCCGGGTCCGGGTATGATCAAATATGGCCGAGGCCGGGTTTGTGACTGGGGCTGCACAAACATTTATACATCCTAAAGTATATATTTTTTATTCAAAATTCATGTTATATTTTGTATATATATTTATATATAAACATCATTATGATCAACATGGTCATCATAATCATCATCATCATCATCATCATCATCATCATCATCATCATCATCATCATCATCAGGCTTTAGCCTTTCTCTTTTATACTGTTTCTCTAATCTAAACAATCTAGAGCATTTTTTTTTCTTAACTAAAGCTCATTCATACAATATGTAAACCATTCCCTTTAAGTTTTCTTACTTCTACCACTACCATTCTCTACTGAAGCTGCTACCTCTCTACATGCTGATACCTAAATTACTTTAATCTTTTCTAACAAATGTTGATACAACATTTTTCCTAATCTGTCTAAGATTATGCCTCCTTTTATTGTCTTCCAAGAGTCACACCACATATCCATCTGATCATCTTCTTTTTTGGCAAAAACTACACCATAAAAATACTAAAGTTTATACAACAATGAAAAGATATTGTATGTCAGCAGCTAAATAAATAGAAAACATATATATTTATATCCATAATATGTATACATAAGGTGGAAGCTTTTATTCCTTCTGGAATAAAAGTTTGGAAGCTTTTATTACTTCTCTTCAATTTTAAAAAAAGCCTCATTCTACTCTACATTTTTCACCATCTGGAGTATTTGCTTTATTAAACATTGATCATTTTTTTGATTTTTTTTTTACAAGAACATCTCTTTTAAGAACAAATGTCATTCTATTATTGCAAGAAGCCAATGTAAAAAAGTCCTTTTTAAAGTTAAGCTCTGTTATTCTCATTTTCATAAATCTTGTATCTTATCTCAGATGTTAGGTTCTAGAGACTTTTTGCTAGTCATCAACAATGTCATTAACTAAAGTAGGTCTAACATTTAATCTCTAATTCATGGATCTGATTATTTTACTTCTTCCCAGAATAATGCAGAGTTAATTGCAAAGAAATATTACTCTAGTTTGACTCTTGGTCAAGAAAGGTTCACTCTTTGCTCCTGTATTGTTTCTTATCTACAATAACAATTCTTCATGAAATTTAAAGTGGTTATATTTGCTGACGACTCAACTTTATACTCTTGTCTTGACAAATAATCTTCACTTTTGGTTGCTTAGAACAAGCAGCCGATTTCAAACCTGATCTCTCGTCTGTAGCAGCCTAAGACTTGCAGTAGCTTGTGGATTTAAATTCTGGACTTAAAATCTACAATTTTTGTTAAACAACAAAACTCATTTATTTGCTGTAAATAAATACTGCAATATTGTTAGCATTCCTATATTGACAAATAACAACCCTCTTACTCTCAGACAAAGTCTAAAAGCACATTGTAAATGTAATTAGACCTGCTTTATCTGTCAAGCTTGAGCCACTCTTCCATTGTTGTAAGGTTGCATTTCTTTCTTTTTTCTACAAACACCATCATATGTGTACATACATCAACTGATTTAAATAAGAAGAACATGCAGAGAGTGTAAAAATTTAAAAAAAATCTGATTCAATTGTATATATGATAAAAAAAATTTTCAATGACTTATTTTTTTACATTTTCTTTGTTAAATTATCAAACTTTGCAACAGATATTTTAAAAATAAAAAAAAATTACTTTAAAACCTAAATTTAATTTTTGCACCTCAAAATTATACTAAGGTTGATATTTTAATTGGAATTTGGTTGGTGTCCAAATATATATATATATATGTATGTATATATATATATATATATATATATATATATATATATATATATATATATATATATATATATATATATATATATATATATACATATATATATATATATATATATATATATATATATATATATATATATATATATATATATATATATATATATATATATATATATATAAAATTAATTAAACAATTTAAAATTAAACAGATATATAATAACTGAAGTAAACTTTGCATGTCACAGGCATTTTAAATTAAAATTAAAAGTAACTAAAGGGAAATTTAAAAAAACTTCTTACAAAGGATTAATAGGATCCCAATAAATTGTTGGAAGTATTACAGATTCTGCATGTACCAGCAATGACCAGCATCCAAGAATTAATGCAATCTGCATATTTCTAACACAATCCTTTAAAAAAGAGAGCAAATAACATTCATCATATTTACAGTTTATACATTTGACATTTTCAATTTGATATGATACAATATTCACAAAATAATTTATACTTTAATATTAATTATTAAATGTTAAACTTGGTAGGTAATGGATTTAAGAAATTATTTGTAATTATGTTTGTAGATTGTTTTATAATACATTAGTAGAAATGTGAGTCATTTTTTTGGTTCTTGGTTTTTTCAACAAAAAAAAAAAAAAAACGTTTTTTTCTATCAAAAGTGGAAAAAAACGTTTTGTTTTTAGATGATCATTTTTTTTTTTTTTAGATAAAAAAAAAAAAAGTGATCATATAAAGAAACATTTTTGTTATAAAATACAGTAACTAACTAAAAAAAACTCTGAAAAAAGTGTTTTTTACTATATTTTTTAAATTTTTTTTATGTTGAACTGTTTTTTCAGATTAAAAATTTTTAAACTTATTTTTAACTTACCTTTAACTTCTTTAGCTTCAAATTATATTCTTTAAACTTAACCCTAACCCATATAAAAAACTAAATGTATTCTTTGATAGAATGAGAATTATTAAAAATTTAAATAAATAACTATGTAAATGTTAAATAAAATCTTGTGTTTTACTGTAATTTGTCAACATTTATCTCAGATTGCAGAAATATTATCAGTTAATCATGTTATATATATAATACTTATATATATTATATATAAAATACTTTTTCTCTCTTGATAATCTAAAGCTTAAGAAACTTTTTTTTGGACATTTTAGTACTTTTAGATTAAAAAAATGAAAACCTTAAAATATGAAACTTTATAGTAGTAGCCTGTTTGCTTGGTTTCTTATAAAAAAAAAAACTGTCTGATATTAAATTGACACCATATTATATACAAATGTATTTATATTATCAAAATGACAATGTAAATTTTCTTATAGAACAAGTATAGTTTCGAAGTGTATATAATTAGTATAACACATTAATTACATTAGTAAATTAAAGAAAGTACAACATGACAAAAAAAACTCATTCAGTAGATTTATAACTAACTTATAGCTAATTTAATTTTTTAGTAAAAATATAAATTAAAATGTTTATAATTCTACTTATAAAGATCATATACGAAAATAAAACAAAAGTTATTCTAAAGTTTATGCACAAAAAAAAAAACTAAAAAATTGCTAATAAAACCAAAAAACACCAAAAGCAAAAAAACATCAAAAAAACAAGTTTTTAACCCAAATATTGCAAGAAGAAAGAAAGCCTTAAACTTAAACTCTTAATACCTATGAAGCAGAAAGAGGTTTTTACATTGGTTTCTTGCAATAATAACAAAATACTTGTTCTCAAGGGAGTTCTTGTGAAAAAGATAGAAAAAAATGATTATGATTAGTTATAGCAGTTACACAGCAGGTGAAAATCATGGATTAGAATGAAGGTTGAGTTGAAACCAGCAAGAAAGAATAAAAGCTTATATGCCTGCATGGATCTAGGAGTTTATGAAGGAGACTCGTTTATCAATGACGAGACAAAAGACATGAAGGACCATTAAAGAGGAAGGCGATTAAGTGAAAAGGTACTAAACAAAAGCAAATAAAATAATGGTCAGGAGATTTAAACCTGGTTTTTTAAAACCAAGCTAATTGATGCAGAAATATATTTCCAAGCCAAGTATTTGACTATTGGAGACTGAGATTCAAATAATAACTTTGTTTTGTCAATTTGATCACGACTGTTAACAATTATGTTTTTAGAATTTACATATTAGAATAAACATATCAATAATGTGCTGAAAAAAACTAGATTAAAAAAAATCTAGATTAAAAAAAAAAAAAGAAACCTTAACAAAAGAGAAAATAAAAAGAACTAAAAATAAAATTCTAAAAATAAAAATTATAACTCAACTAAAATAAAACACAAAATTTATTTAAATCAAGTTTTTAATTATGTTTGGAATAATAAACTTCAAATCTTTTATCTTTACTTATGTTTTTGTAATATTATGGGAATTCATTTTAAATAAAGTAACAACTTACTTCTAATGATTGTTTACAAATATGCACGTTTGATTTAAATTAAATATAGCAAGTTTCAATATAAAAAAGATTATGAATTTTGAAATCACTATAAAATTCTGACTCTTATGAGACCCAGGTTGATATAAAAATATAAAATTCATTGATATATAGGAGCCAGTGTGTAATCAAGGGTCATGGTGAGTGACCTTTTTCAAAAAACTAAATAAAACCAATGACTTTTCAGTTACTTTCAAACTAAAGTTTATCTGTTTTTTATATTGGAAACCAGAGATACCAAAAATTTACCAAAAAGTCACATCCCTAATACACACACACAGACACACACACACACACGCACACACACACACACACGCACACACACATACACACACACACACACACACACACACACACACACATATATATAAACTATATATAATATTGATTAATGCTTAATATAAAAAATAATTAGCAGTGATTTTAAAAACATTTCAAAAAAAAAAAAAAAAAGTAAAGATCAAAGTTATTTAATTGTAACAACTTTCAATAAACTAAAACAACTTTCACTTTTTTTAAAAAAACTTTTCATTTTTTGATTTTTTTAACTTCAATAAAGAGACTATCGTAGTCTAAAAAGTTGTCATTTATAAAAACACAAAATATATATAATTTTAAACAAATTATTGCTATTATAATTAAAAAAAGCATTAGTAATGATAATTCAATTGTTTCAATATTATTTCTTACTTACGTATAATTCTAATGTATAAATATAATATAAAATCTTTTTTTATTCAGTGCATTTTTAAAATGTTAAGAGTTGAGGTCAAATCGTCATAACAAAGCCTTTCTGACCTGAAATACCATGAATATTTGTAAAAGATATATTGAAACAGTTAGGTGGTGATCAAAGTACCCATAAATATTATGTTTAACATTTATGGGTACTTTGGTCTTGATTTAAGTTTAAAAAAATATGAGTAAATCATAAATAAAGCATAGCACACCAAGTAATAAGTTACGCAGTTGTCTCAGTTCTGCTAATTAAAGTCGTAACTTAGAGCTACTATTACCTTGACAATGCACACCAAAAGTATTAACAAAGACAACTTTCATGCGCAACATGGAACTGTTAACACTCCAATATTTTTTGACTGTTGATGGAATCAGCCATTTCTTTATACATATATATATATATGTATAAAGAAATATAAATATAAAGAAATATATATATATATATATATATATATATATATATTTATTTCATTATTTATAATAATTTATCTATTTACATTTAAAATTTATGTCATCGCTGTCAACATATAAGTTCTTTTTTTTTTTACGACAAGTTTCTTTTTTTTGACATATAGCTTCTCTAGTAACTCTTGTTTTTCACAAGCGGCTCTTTTTAATGCATTAGATTTTGATATATCAGCTTTAATGTCATCTAAATAGAAAAGGAATCATAAAATAATCATATTACATTTAGTGATACAAACTAAAAAAACACTTATATTCAAGGCTTAAACCTAAGGCTATTCTTTTTTCAGCACGGAAACCAATTTCATCAGATTAATTTTTAAATTCTCAATCATAGATAATGTCTGTCGAATTTCAGTATTGACAA